TGCAGGGCACGCTCTCAATGCTCAACAAATGGCAGTCATCTTTCTTTTGCCAACCCATATTTGAACCATATGTGACACTGGGGTTAATAAATTCAGGAAGGGTTTTTGAGAAGCAAAGCTTCTTATACTCTTGAAATTAATTTTTCAGGATTATTATAATAAAGTAATATTTCACCTATAATTCATATACTTTCTTTCTTTGATAATTTGTTTTATTATATACTATAATGCTTATAGTAAAAAAAGTACAAGCAAATAATACAAGGGTACAGAAATTTATTTGCAGTAGTTTAGTAGTTTGATATAAAAACTTTTATCCTTAAGCTTTGAGGCAGACTAAAATGTTTGCCATAGATTTGTTAGAATTAGCGTTTTGAAATGCAAACATCATGTCCTGCGCTGAGCAGATACTAGATACTATCAATATTATTGTTACAGCAGATTCAGAGATTCTCACTGAATTTGATTCCCAAAGTGCTGGACTACTTTAAATAGTAAACTAAAAAAAAAAAAGTTATGTCTTTGAACAGGTACATGAAGCAATGAATTTGTAGATGAAATCTTCTAGGGATGGGAGCAAATCTTGCAGGCGTACACAAAGTGGATTTCTTCCTAGAACAGTAAGTTGGAGGGATGAATGGCCCCTGGAGCAGGTCTCGCATATGTGGTTAAGCCAACAGACCGCAGCTCATTAATCTAAATGCATACCTGACCCTTTCTTGGTCAACCTGACAAGAACAACCTGCAAAAGTGACTGGGGCCCTTCAAGAAGCAGGAATTCCCCTGTGTTAAGGGGTCCCAAACAAAGGCCCTATATTTTCTGACAAAAAAGTTCATTTATCCACTTTTCCAGTGATCACTGAATTCCATATGTTTTCCCAGGAAACTGCTGGCCCTGACTTTCAACCTGATTCTAAGTGATCAGTGGTGTTTGTAAAGTCTGGAGAAGCCAGCTAGAGCTGGCTACAGAGATCTTTCTGTGGGAGCAGGTTATGTGACTACAAAGTGATATAACTGGCAGCAAAAAAGTGTGGCCTAAAGCCAGTGAAAAGTGGGGAACAGGTTAACACAGACCAGTGAGAGGCAGTCAGAAATTAGGTGGAGAATCCCATTTCCCTCTGGGCTGCTCCGGGGGCAGGAGAGGTAGACCCACAATTTCCAACGTTTATAGCAGGAGAGGCCAACTAACTGTCAATAGGTTTCAGTACCGCCAGCAATATCTGAGGAGGTTAACACTAACAGCAACAACTCCTAGGAACTGTGGCCCACACACAGCATGGTATCTCATTTAATCCTTACGAGCCCCTTTAGGAGTTAAATATTTTTCTCAAGGTCACATGGTCAATGGCGAAGCTGGGATTCAGGCTCATATCTGACACATGCCACAGTCCATTCTCTTAGCCACTAAACAATGCCACTGATGTGATGTCTGCTGTTGATTAGAGCCTTAAGGAAGCATAGAAACAGCTGACTTGGCCACAATGACGTGTTTGGCAGGAAAGAAAAAGGGAGGGTGGAAGAGAACGTATGTTTTTATTTTCAGCATACTACCCAAGGCCATGTAAACTACACGTGAGCAGTGCCTCTGACTCGCTGGATCATCTTTGTGACCTCCCACAGCAGGTTCTTAAGAGAAGCAAATCAATGGAATAGGATAAGGCCATTACGTAACTTGTCAGAACGCTTACTGAGGACTGTCACGGCCAGACGAATCCAAGGCAAGAAGAACGTGAAGACAGGGCGCACACAGCAACTTTTTAACTAAAAGCTCTGGATCCACATAAAGTCAAATGGTTGGAAATGTTCACTTTAGCACATTTAACCTGAAGAATACTTCCCGGGAGTGGAGAAGTCCTAACATTCCCCTGGAGCCTCTCTGTTTTTTATGTCTGCTCTTGCACAAGATTTAGACCCAACTCAGAGGGTCACACTGCTTACACCTAACTCAGCTAATAAGATCAGACACTATTAGACATGAGTTGGGCTCAGGAAAGTGACTTGAAGGCCAGGCACCATCACATTCAGGCAACTGAGGACCACATGTTCCATCTATACCTTACAGCACAGCAGCTGGAATGCCTCTTGGGACTCCAGCGACTTGAAGAGCACTGTTCTGACTGCTGCAGGCCTAAGACCACCCTGGATGCCTTTGGGACTCGCCCCGAGGTAGGTCCACCTTGCAGTTGCCCAAGAGTATAGGATACCTGACCCAAGACAGGCCACACTGAGGTTCTGATCACAAAACTGCAGGGCTGCCTGTACTGTACTGTCCTTATAATAAATGAATCACCGCTCAGGGGTCACGTCCTGTTTCAGGCCATCAGAGAATCCCAGTTGGCTCATACAGGCACATGCCTCTCGCAAACTCTTAGGCACCCCTGGTTCAGGGCTGTGTCCTGGGACCCCACGCTGGGGAGGAACTGGGGTTGCAGGTGAGGGGGAGTTAACGTCCAGGTGTGTGGAGTCCCAGCCTGCACCAGATTCCCAGCCGCGCCATTTGTTAGCTGGGTAACCTTGGGAGGTGAACTTCTCTGAGCCCCGGCTCCCTCATCTGTAAGATGGAGATAACAACCTCACCTCTAACTCAGGGTTGTTGAGGATTAAATGTTAGCACGCATTAATCAAGGCGCTGGTGGCACGTGGTAAGCATTCCAAAAACATTAGCCACCAGGAAGACAATGATGAGATGGGATGATAGCAGTGCTTTTGAAAAGTCAAAGTTAGATGGTGGGAATCTGCACTGTCACACAGGGCTAGAATGGAGACGGTTTCATCATCTATGGAATAGGAGTAACAGAAGCTAATAATAATGTAAGACGGGCTGTGGTAATGTGCTCAGAGCAAGGAGTGCACAGCCCAGGGTGTACACTCAGGAAGTGTTATCTATTCCCTTAAGTGGGTCTGATCTTGGATCATGTGATCAGAAACCTTTATGACACAGCCCCACAAGTATTTTAATCACCAAAATAATGAGTAGGGTCAGTCCCTCCTTAGCCAACAAACCATTAAGCCCTCACAGAGGCTTTAAGAGTGAAATCCTAGCATTTGCCAGTTGTGGGACTTGGGCAAGATACTTAAACCCTCTTAATAACAGATTTATCTGGTAGCTTGTGGCAACAATTACATACGGTAATCTGTATAAAGCATTTTCTATAACTGGGCTCATAGTAAGTGCTTACTTACTATCAACTAATGTTATTACTGTCAGAAGTTCTTCATAGGACTCGTTTCCTAAGGTTAACTGTGTATGGAATTAAACATAAGCAGGTCAAAGTTATCTCATTTTCCGCTTGTGTATCTTTGATGCCTAATCCAGCACGTGGCAGAGTGGAAGCTTATTAAAACATTGCTGAATAAATGACTAACTCTTAGACAGCCTCAGTGATAATTACTAACTGATCTAAGTCTGCCAGCAGGATTTCTGGTATCAGATGGGTGGCTTGTCCCAACTGGCATGATAGTTAAAAATCTCAGCTGGGCTGTCTGAGGGAAGCTGAAGACCTCTGAGGAATCAGCCCAAGGTTTCTGCAGGAGGAATAGGACAGAGAGGACATAACTGCTCAAGTTGCATAAAGGCCAATAATTTTTAAGATGCATGTATAACCAACTACCTGGAAGGGTTTGGCCACAGGTGTGTACCGACCATATTCTGTGTCAAGGTCTGTTAAGGGGCTGAAGGGAGACGAACAGGACCTGATTACGTGCCCTGGGGAGAGTGCAGCCTGGAAGGGGCGTAAGGCCCAATGCTAGACAGACCCAAGCCTGAGTTTCCAACTCTGCCAGTTACCAGCCAAGTCATGGTGCTTCTCTGTGCCTTATTTTCTTCATCTGTGAAATGAAGATTATAATACCACATGGGCTGTGGGGAGGACTAAATGAAATAAACTTTATGAAGTATCTGGCACGAGGAAGTGCTTAAAAAGTGGCACTTCCTTTCCTCCTCCACAGAGGTAAATCTAAGCCAGTGTAATAAATGCTCATCCCTTGTTTCTACTATCCTGCTAGCAGTTAACTGCTTACAGAACTGAAGAGTATCACTCGGCACGGGATACTGAGCTCTAACTATAAGCCTCTCCAAGCTGGGATCACTGGATTAAACTGCATGCACCTCTGTCAAGACTCTTGCTACACTTTGCTGTTTCCATTCCTACTTGTCACATCTTCCACGATAATATTTGCATCTTTAAGATTAAAAAAAATTTTTTTGCTATTTTTAAAAGGGCAAAATAGTAATTCCTTGTTTTACTGTGCATGTCTTTGACTACCACCAAGACTGAACCTTTTTGACAAGTACAGGGATTTTGTCGATACTGGAACTTTTAGTTGGAAATGGGTGATACGAAGCATAAAAATAAAAATTCTGATAGACTGTAAGTATAACTACATAATATATAGGTATACAACAATCTGAAGGGAAACAGAATGTAAATGTTAGTAACCTGGCTTTATTATTTTCCACTTTCTATTAGATTGCCTTTATTCCTAAAATAAGGGGAATCATAATTGAGGAAATTTCAGTATTCCACTGTTTTATTTATATATGTTTTAATCCTTTAGCATACTGAGGGGCTTTTTGAGTAATTTAAATAAATAGTAACAATAAAAAAAAAGATTGAACAGTGTAACACGTATTGTTTCATTCCCTACATTACTTTTTCATGTATAGAACACAACACCCTCTGCCATCTTTATAATTCAGGAAACTTTAGGTTTTTCAGAACAACCAGTAATACTTCCCCAAAGATGAGATTATAAAGTAAAAGAATACCTGATTCAGTTTCAGGGAGCAGAAGACAAAAAGTTGTGGCGGAGCAAGAGATGAAGCAGGAAGAAAGGACCAACTTCTTTTGTAAAGGAATATCCTAACCCCCCGACCTAATCCATACATTAAAGGCACCTGGAGAAATTTTCACGGCTGGTTACAGCACGTGTTTGCTTTCCAGTCCACGTGGCCAGAAGGCATCAAAGACACAGCTTGGTAAATTACCAGACACACTTACTGTGGCATGGGAGATGGTCAGAATCCCGTTCTTGACGGAGCACTTCCTTCTCTGCCACACTTTCCGGATCCTAAGGAGGGAGTCAAACACAAGCTGATACAGTACCTGGTTCACGTAACTATCGTAACACAGTTATGATGCATAACAGTCATTACCAAAAAACCCCAACCCCAAACCAAAAACCACACAAACCAGAAAATTTTGGTTGCCTTTTATTATCCCAGGTGGAGGGTAATTCAGACTAGTGGGCATGCACAAGGATGCTCATTATAGCACCATTTTTGATAGTGAAAATGGGAAACAAGAGAAACAATAGAAATCTAATAGGAGGAATGAAGAAATGATTACAGTTACGTTCATACTACAGAGTATTATTACGTAGGAGTTTAAAAGAAGAAAACAACTACATATGTGCAGACCTACATAAACAGGTTTCTAAAGCACACTGTTGATTGAAAAAGCAAGCTGCTTTAAGATAATTCTGGTATCATCTAATTATGTTAAAATTTCAGGCCTATAAAACAGCACTCTAAATTTTCTACAGGCATACACATATATGTATAAACATATTTCCTTCGTTATCACCTGTCTCCCTGTTGAGAATGTAAGCTCTATAATGATAAGGACTTTCAATGTTATAGTTTCAATGTTATCATCCCAGTGTCTACAACAGGGCCTGGCATGTAGGACTCCCAGAAGATATCTGTTGAATGCATGGGAAGAATGATGAGCAAAACTGACAGTGATCCCAGAAAAGTGTAGGAGAAATAGTTGCAATTTTAACAAACAAATTAAAACAAAATGAAAATCTACATGTCTTAGATAAAGCCAAGGAGCACACATCCACAATCAGAAAACAAGAAACTTTCTTTTAAAGGATGATAATTAGTAAAGCAAATAATCAAGATTCTACTTACTTACTGTGAAACAGAATCATTTGTTCAAGCAACAGAAAGACGGCAAGTGTGGAAGGACCAGCGAGAAAAATGGCCCAAATGAGGCTGGAGAGAGAGGTGGGGAATGGCTTTGGGAACAGCCCAACGTGCTGTGTGGAGATGAACCGGAGAAGGGACGAGTGAGTGACAGAGAGACGAGTTAGGAGGCCACCAAAATAGTCCAGGAGAGGTGACGGTATTCATCTGAGAGCAGGGCAGCAGAGGCGGCAAGTCATGTATAACTTCTCGTTATTGGGTTGGCCAAAAGGTTCGTTCGGTTTTTCCCATAAGATGGTTCTAGTAGCATAAGATGGCTCTAGTAGCACTTAGTTGTCTTTAACTTCATTGGAAACAGTTTTGTTAGATTGCATGTGACAAATGTCATATCAGCATGCATTTAAAAAAAGACTTATCAAAATTGGTGAATTTTTGTGTAGCCATTTTAATATTGAAGATGGAAGAAACAAAGCAACATTTTCGGCATATTATGCTTTGTTATTTCAAGAAAGGTAAAAATGCAACTGAAACGCAAAAAAAGATCTGTGCAGTGTATGGAGAAGGTGCTGTGACTGATCGAACCTGTCAAAAGTGGTTTGTGAAGTTTCGTGCTGTAGATTTCTCGCTGGACGATGCTCCACTGTCGGGTAGACCAGTTGAAGTTGACAGTGATCAAATCGAGACATTAATCGAGAACAATCAACATTATACCATATGGGAGATGGCTGACATACTCAAAATATCCGTATCAAGCCTTGAAAATCATTTGCACCAGCCTGGTTATGTGAATCACTTTGATGCTTGGGGTTCCACATAAGGTAAGTGAAAAAAACCTTCTTAACCGTATTTCTACATGTGATTCTCTACTTAAATGTAATGAAAACATTCCGTTTTTAAAATAAATTGTGATGGACAATGAAAAGTGGATGCTGTACAATCGTGTGGAATGGAAGAAATCATGGGGCAAGCAAAATAAACCGCCGACACCCACACCAAAGGCTAGTCTTCATCCAAAGAAGGTTATGTTGTGTATATGGTGGGACTGAAAGGGAGTCCTCTATCACGAGCTTCTTCCGGAAAACCAAACGATTAATTCCAACAACTACTGTTCCCAATCAGACCGACTGAAAGCAGCACTTGATAAAAAGTGTTTGGAATTAGTCAACAGAAAATGCATAACCTTCCACCAGGATAACGCAAGACTGCATGTTTCTTTGATGACCAGGCAAAAACCGTTACAGCTGGGCTGGGAAGTTCTGATTCATCCTCTGTATTCACCAGACATTGCACCTTCGGATTTCAATTTATTTAGGTCTTTACAAAATTCTCTTAATGGAAAAAACTTCAATCCCTGGAAGACTGTAAAAGGCATCAGGAACAGCTCTTTGCTCAAAAAGATACAAAGTTTGGGGAAGATGGAATTATAAAGTTGCCTGAAAAATGGCAGAAGGTAGTGGAACAAAAGGGTGAATACGTTGTTTAATAAAGTTCTTGGTGAAAATGAAAAATGTGTCCTTTATTTTTACTTACAAACCAAAGGCACTTTTTGGCCCACCCAATAGAAACGGAAGAGCTTGTCGTCAGGCTGGCTGTGATGCAAGAGGAAAGAGCGGAGTCAAGGTTGACTCTCAAGGTTGGGGTCTGCGCGGCCAGGGGGGCATCTGGCAGAGAAAACCACAGTGGAGAAACCAGAGAGGTGGGCGAGCATGCAGTCAGCGAGCCGTGTGCTCAAGTTCCACTCAGTGCCTGCGTTCCTCAAATTGCACGTCACAAGTCGCAGGTGCCATTTAGGGACCACAGAACAACTACTGCTGCTTCTGAAGACAGCAGGTTACATCTCAGACTTACTGAGGAAAGCAGCATGCTAAAGGTCTGAAGCTGGTGCACTGGAAACCTTGTAAGTACGTTTCCCTATCTGAGAGGCTGGACAGGTTCCTAGGTTCCTAACACCCACCCGTAAGTATGCTAGGCACACACAGGACCCCAGGCCGGCTGTATACGTACCCATCGCTTTTCTTCAGTAGGTACCCCTTCTTCTCACTGCCATACTCCTTGTTGCCCTGGAGCTGGTGCATGCTGTATCCTCCTTGCCGGCTCTGGGAATCCTAGAAAGGAGAAACCACAGATTAGACAAATGCCGGAGACAGTTCTCAAATCCTTGATTCTATTCTGCCATGGAGGCTTTGCCTGTTGGTCTGGAGCTAAGAGAACTGTGAACTTCTGAGAGCTGTCGGGTCCTCGTCCTTATTCTAGAGGCGGAAACTGGGCAGGCAAGCAACCGCCAGCGTCACAAGCAAGTTCGAGGCAGAGCTGAGGCCTGGGGTCGAGATCTCCTATTTCTAGTTCAGAAGCCAGCTCGACTTCAAACGAACAGTGCAGCGACAGACTGGTCTATGACTCAAACCAGTCTACACTGGCAGCAGAGGTGAGCACAGGAAGGGCTGGAGGAACCGAAGCGGGCCACAAGACAAGCTCATGCATCCCGAGGGATCTTCTTCCAGGTACCCCTCCTCTGCCTCACATGTTCTGCTTAAATACCCCCAAAGAAAAGTACACCTCCTCTGTGAGGAACTAAGAATTGCTATAAAATTCTTGTTTTGTAACTTACTAGTGCTCTGCAAAAATATACCTATAACCATGCTTTTAATTTAAAAAGATGACTTTAAGGCAGGGAAAAGTGTATGGCGTGGTGACAGGGTGACAAAGGCTGACAGAACAACACGGACGCAAACAAGCTTGATTTAACATCCACTGAGGCTCCCCCTCGTTTCTAAAGACTGCATGACCAGACGCAGCCATTACACTGTGGAAATGCAAGAAATAAACTAACAATGCCGAACTGTAGGACGAGAACACGGGGCTTTAGACACAGAGGTACGACAATACATTCTCACAGAAAGCATTGACTTACTCTCCTAGACTTCGATCAGGAAGGGCAAAAGCAAGAGAAAAAAAGGCAGAACAGTTGAAAATACAGTTAATTTCATTGACAGTCTTATTGTCTATAATTTAAGCACTTTTTGTAACACACAGAGAAAACATCATTGTAAAGATAATTAATATCAGATTTCTCTCTCACACGCGCCCTTTAGAGTCATGATAAACTTTGGGTGATGGGACAATAAAATATCTTTATCAAGTTTCATTTCAGGTCATTTGAGAACAGAAAAAAAAGCTGATGGAAGAGCATGAGGTACACATTTCACCAGGATTGAAGGGCTGACAAACCTCAAAGTGTGTGTGTGTAAAGGGAATCAACACCTCAGTGAAACCCAGTTCATTACTCAGAAAATCTAAGAAGAGCAACAAATTGTAAGAAGATCCTTTCTTTTCCAAGTGAAGAGAATTTAATAAAAATATCCAGTTCATAAGCTGCAACTCGATGGTGAAGAGACAGAAAGCTGAAGCAGCCATTATTTACTGACGGCTTGTGCACGGCCCGCCTTCCAGGCCAGGATGGCCTCTTTCTGGCATTTAGGATCCTCTGGACCAAACAGCATGTGCTCGGTGAATGCATATTAATGTTAATAATAGCTGCAGGAAAATCTGCAGGACAGCGCACCTCGTTAGGGCTATTCTACACGTGATGAGTTCACTGTTCAAAAGCACGCCCCGAACACTCCCTAAAAACCAGGCTGGGTGAACATGCTGAGGACACTGGGACACAGCCCATCTCAGAGATGGAAGCTCCCCCTCGGAACCCACACCGTCCTGCTCTCTCGTGTAGGTGCAGCCGAGAGCTAAGCGCACGCTGTACCAGGCAAGTTGACTCAAATGAAAGAGGTTACAAACTCTATTCATTTTCTTAATCTGAGTAATTTCTTTGCCTTTAACTGGCCAGATTCCCTCCAGCTGAAACATCTCATTGGACAAGTTTAATTACCTGGGGAGAAGTGGGGCGTAGGAATCTTGAAAAATTCCCCTCCATGTTTACTTTAAACCAGGGTCCACAGCCTTGAACTCAGAGTAATTTGGCCCACTCTGCCCTCCCTGACAGGTACTTTCTGGATGGAACTATGACCAAGGACCTGTACCACACACCAAGTAGGCAGAGATAGCCTGCCTCTACCAAGTGCCTCTAGTGACAGCCCTCAATACAATAGTAGTGACACATGGGGTTTTTTCAAGGAGGCAGCAATGTGGCCATAATACTAATAAAGAACAATCAGGATAGAAAACTAGATCAGGTGGTAGAGGCCTGAGCCGTGGGACAAAATAAGAGGCCAGGATAAATGAAATCCACAGAGCTCCTGCTTTAACCCAATGAAATCACATGAAAATCACTTAACTATCAACCTGGAGTTAGGGATCTTTGCCATAGCTATACCTCTCCAGAACATTAAAGGCAAAATCTAAAATCTCCTTGATATCAATTCTCATTAAGTAAATTCTCTTCCTTGGAACGCTCTTCTTTGAACTAAACTTCCCTTTATCTGCCCACATAATTCTTATCTGTCTGAACGCTTTAAAAGTATGCACTTCTCATCTTAACTGGTTTGCTAACCTTTAAAATAAAAGCCTAAATTTTGGGGTTTTTTAAAAATAATTTTTACTGGAATATAGTCAATTTACAATGTTGAAAGCCTAAGTTAAAAAAATACTTACCTTTTAAAAAAAATAAGGATTCAGATGCTGACAGCTTATGAAAACTATTATATTCTGTAAACTTACTACTAAGACATTCCTTACATGTATTTACTACTAGCCTAAATTAACTTTCAATTCTGAATAACAAACAGATTGAGTAGACCTTGCTTTATATCAGACAAACGTGGTTTTAAAGGTGGATAAAGTGGCTGATGCCTAGGCTTTGACCTCAGAAGCCTATTCCACTAAACCAAGCAGGAAGAAGCAGTGATTCAGAGGTAGCATCAACAATCCTAAATTAACTAGTAATGAGTTTTATGGCCTAAGAAAGTCACACAAATGATTGTCTCTGTCCTTGGAGAAATGAGGGCTTAGCAGGGCACTCCAGATAAATGAAAAGAGGATTCTCTTTTTTTGAGACAATAAACCTTGGAGAATTGGTAACACTTAATAAGTAAACAAAATAAAACACAACTGAAGGAATGAAATAGGGTCTGAATCCTTTGAAAGCACAATAGAAATCAACGTGTACTGAGGAAACAGAAATGCAAACGCGAAACTCACTTCAGGTAAACAATTTAAAACTCAAATAGTGAACTTAAAACCTTGGCAAAAATCCATGATGTGAGCCAAGAGATGTAAACTATAGAATGAAACTACAGTATTATTTTTTAGTTCAATTTCCCATTCTCTATTAGCAGTACAAATTACTTTACTTTCTTATTAGAAAACCTTATTAACATATAAAATGCATTATTAAGGAGTAAAACCTCAAATCTTTTAAAACTGCAAGCAATTAGCACCCTCATTGACTTAATGGGTTATAAATGTTTCTGGCATCCAATTTAAAACTAAACCTCTATTTATAGAAGCTTCAAATTTCTAAGGTAAGGTATGAATGGAGTGGGCAAAAATTTCCTTCTGTTTCATCTTACTAAACATTTATTGAGTAGTTCTGGGGTGCCAGGCAATGTACTGGATACCGTGAAAGGAGAGATGAGTAAAACACAGATACTTTGCAAACTATTATGAGCTACTGAGACTCAAATAAAAAGATGAAGGTTTTGGACTGATTTATGGATAGCACCATTAAAAATAAAATATTTTCAACCCTAAAAACAGTTTCTACTAAAAATCCAAAGATCCTACTTAGAGCTCAAATTCTTTTTTTTAAAATTTACTGCTTTTGTTTAATATAATTTAATTGTGCTTATATAATTTTTTTTTACATCTTTACTGGAGTATAATTGCTTTACAACGGTGTGTTAGTTTCTGCTGTACGTGGGTACACAGCCCACATACCTCCCTGCCTGCCGATGCCTACTACACACCTCCCTGCCCACAGGTCAGCAGGCGCTCAGTGTCACAGGGCTACAGACCCCTCTCGCTGTACGAAGACCCAACGTGTACATAAAACTGGTTCTGGGGGGCAGGAGGGTAGAGGGCTATAATCACTCAGTCTAGAGAACCTTCAAGATTGCTTTAACATTCGTGTTGCTGGAGCAGGGCTTCCCATGTTTGAGGGGGTTTGCTTTGTTTTTGTCTTGGACTCATGAACCCCTTTTGTAAATTTTAGGGATTTACAGATAGTTTGCAATTGTGAGATAATATGATGAGGAACTGACATACGAAAAATGCTGTATTTTGTGTGATTATGACTAAATATTGCATTTAAATACTGCACTTAAATTGAATCCGTAATAAATTCGTAACATAAACAGGCAAATGTTTACCTTCTCCCATGCAACAAACGATGCTCCCTATTTAATGTACCCTTCATATGAAGTCCATTCCCTTTAGTGTGCATCCAAGGTTCTCCACAATCCGGTCTGGGTTTTCACCTCAGAAGCGGCATCTCTCACTCCTCCACCCACCCTGCCCCAGGCTGCTGTGGCCTGCTGAATGTGCCGGGCAGCTTCTCACTCCTGAGACTCTTTGTTTCCTCTCTTTCCCGGCACACCTCCTCCCAATCTCTGTCTTACAGCATCAATACCGCTTTAGGTCCGGCCACTTGTTCACATGGCTGACTCTCTCTATTACCTACTAGACAATGAGATCCTTGACGGAAGGGACTCAAGCTTAATGCCTAGAAGAGTTGCCAGCACACAGTAAGTATTCATTAGATGTTTGACCAAACAAATGAACAGATGAGATTAATAATTAAGCATTTGTATTGCATTCATCTAACACCTACCATGCACCGTATAACTCCATTTCAGCATCCAAAGACTATCTCAACCTTAACTTTCCTAACTGTGGGGCAAAACCTCTATAGGAATCTGTATCAAAATATTTCTCTATTTCTCTGGCAAAATGAGACAGCCCCTTTTGGATGTCTGGAAAAACAGGGATGATCTAAGAGGAACTGAGGTATGTACATCAACACCTGGGAGGGTGTTCTTCTGAAGCACACACCTTAAAGGCAGGATGGAAAACCTGGTCATGGAGTTGGGGGTGAGGGTTATCTTTTTTTATAAGGAGGGCACAGGAGCCCAAAGACCGTTCCTACTGTGTTTCGTACGACAGGTACGCACTGTGTCTTATGTCTCGTCTGCGCACCCACCCCCCTCCCCGGCAGGAAGTTCTCATTATGCTTGTTCTGCAGATCAGGAAACACAAAGGCTATCACAAGCAGCCCTGCTTACACGGTTAGCCCTGCTGGAAACACACACAGATCACCTACTTCTTTCTGATCAAGTTGAAGGGAGGATTTTATTAAGTCTCGGAGTGCAGTCAGCTGTTTCTTTTCTTCATCCTGGGTCTGTTTTATCTATGAGAGAAAAACAGTTCTTCTATCACTTATCTCTTATACATTTATGAGCAGACTTTAATTCATCCAAATGTATACTACTCATCAAACAATTCAATTATACAGTCGATTTCCTTATTAAAGTCCTTCACACGGTCTCATTTTTGATATGAGAGGCACAATTTTCTCATCTTCTTAAAGTACCAGTGAGTTTTGAAATTAGTGAATAATGCAACATGCTTCCTTATTAAATAATACATCTGGGCTAGACAATTAGCTCTGAAGGACTATTTTAAACAAAGGTTAAGAAATAACATTGAGTTATTTGCTTCTGGTATTTCAAAGGGTGGCAGTGGAAATATCAATACCGTGATGTGACTGAATGGGACGGAAGACAATCCTAAGAATGACCAGAATCTCAAGAGCTAATGCATATATGAAAGTTTACATGAAGGGAAGGGATTGGTGCTGCCTTTCTTATTTATCACTTGGAACTTAACTGCAACCTGAACCATGTTAACTTTTCAAAGAAAAATCAGAAAAGTTCTATTAGAATATAAGGTATCATGTGTAACTCTAAAACCTTATTTGAACACATGTATCAATAGTTACACTCCTAAAATGTATACTTTTAATATTATTCACTGCCAAGCGGTTCACGAAGAACAAACTTGAGATTTCTCATATGCAATTAGTTTTTTTCTCAAAAAAGTTTTCCTCTTGATTTTCCTATTCTACAAGCAAAACCTAGACAGTAGGGGAAAAAAGGAGAGGAGATATAAAACCAACAAGCAAGCAAAAAAAAAATTCATAAACCTGCTTACTCAGAGACAGTCACTTAATTTTTTTCCTTCCAGGATAAAAATTTCCTGACCAAAGGGCACCCATATGTGATGCTACTGAACCCAGCACGGAGAGCCATTCAGAACCAATGGCTATCCATCTACTCCCTGCCCTGCTCCACCTATGTCCCAGAAACTACTCTGGAATATCTGACAAGTGATGATGTCTCTGAGTTAAACCAGAAAAACAAAACAAAACAAACCACAAAACAACATTTACTGGCCCTAGATTTATGCTGACACATCACTTCACCTTGTCTTCTTTTTTCTTTAATGCTCTTCTAATACAGATTTCAGATTTACTGATATTTATCTATAACAGCAAGCTAAAGTGCAGGTATTTTGTAAAGAACTTACATTATATAAATCAGCAGCCAGTTTTTCAATGTACTGTTTCAATTTATCAGCTGTCTTCAAGCCATCTTGAAAGAAACTACAATGGAAAACATCAGAGATTTATCAGCAGTGTGAAAAGAGAAATGAACCATAATTACCTGAAAAATCTGAAAATTTTCATAGAGACGTATTTACTCTCTACCCATATATCTATACGAAACACTTATAAAACTAATTTCAGTATTTTATAAAGATGTACCAATAAACAAACTACAGGCACAATTTGACATGTGCTAGCAGGTGTCACATGGACACTGCAGATAACACCTACATCTCCAACCCACTGAGTCACACACAGAACAATTCTTCCTGGTTGTGCCATATTTGAATTTGAAAGAGACAGACACGTTTGCCAGTGGAATATCATGAAGTCTGACTGGATACTAACGAGAGAAATAAAGGCCAGAGGACAGTCAGCAAGGGTTCTTCCAGTTTCCAAAAGATCCCTGGGTCCCTATACACTTGAAACACAGGATGCTCAATCAGTGGTACGGACTACGGATTCGGAAAGTGCTCTCCCACCACACACGTTAAGAAGGGGGTGTCATCTCACCCTGAACTGGCAACAAGCACTGACATCTGCTGAGCGACCATCACCTGACACCACATTTCATCTACACCCTCACAGCAACCCGAACGAGCGGGTAAGTACCTCAAGTCTCTCCTCCATCCCGAAGGAGGAGCTGAGGCCCAGAGCGAGGGCGGAACTTGCCCAAGCTGCTGACGCAACTATTAAGTGTCAGAAGTGGGATCAGGTCCAGGTGCCGACACCCCTGCTCTCACTACCAAGTGACGTGATTTCTTGTCTGAGCGCTTCCACTCAGGACCCCTGTTTGTGTCTGTGTTCAGAATGTCCTCCACCCTGCTGGAAGCTTCTTTAACCTCCGTGGCAGATTATTTCTTAATGCACGTTACCTGCGCTGCTCTCTCCCCAGGAAAGGAAGAGGTCCTTGAGGACGAGGACGGTCTCTCATCCCCACATCATAATGGGCCCAGCACAGAGCAGCAGATGCTCACTTAGAAGGTAAGAATGAAGCACGACTAAGAATTTTGAGGGCACATTTTGGGATCCTTGTATATCTTTCCAGCTTAATATGTACACTCAATGGTAACAATACATCCTTGTCAGAAGTGGCCTTCAAAGTGATTAGTGAAATTCTACAAGTTCCAAAGTTTTTTAAGGTTCACATCTTTAGCAGAGAACCCTTACTGAAATAAGGGTTTCATGTAATCAAGCTACATGTAAATTCTCATCTACGAACATTCAGGTTTTCATCACTGTCTTTAGGGATGAAAGTTGAACTTCTTGGTACAAAATTGAATAACTTCTATGTTCTGGCCCCTGAATATCTTTCTGGTTTTTATCTCCTACCATTTTCCCCTTAAAAACTCTGGCCTCCTGCCATGCTCCATTATTTCCAGTTGCTCCCCCAGCCTTCGCATATGCTGTTCCCGTTGCCTGAAATGCCCTTCCCCACTATTACGTGCCTACCAAACTCTCTCATTCTATCCTGGCTCAGCTCAGCTGCTACCTCCCCAGGCGGCTTTCCCCAGCCTTTCTAGTCAAGGGGATGGCATCTTTGAGCACTTGCTTGTGCCCAGGCCTAAGTGGCAACCCTAGAGCAGCTGACAATGCTCTGCACAAAGCAGACCATCCAAAAGCATTAACCTGAACCAGCCTCTTCTACATCCAGGAAGGAGTGTCTGCCAAGGACACAGAAGTACGGCTAAAAAGCTAACCACAGCAAAACTAATTTTAATCTCTGATACTGTACTTAATTTCTGGAGAAAGTGCTTGAAAGTAGAACACTTGATGGATGCTGTCAGGACTTCTTACAACAGGAAAAACAAGGGCATTGGGATGAGATGATGATGGCCTAGGCTGCGGCTCTGGGACTTACCCTCTATGGGACGCTGGCAAGTCACTAAACTTCTACCCATGTTACTGGTATTAAATGGGATGAATAATACAGATAAGACACACAAAATGACTCAGCAAGGTGCTGGGCAGTTAGGATGTGCTCAGCAAATGTTGCTTTTCTTCCCTGGAGCCGCAGAGGTTTACCATGGAAGGAGTTACTTCTTTCTCAGAGGGATACAGGTTCTTCGAAGATATTTTTGTAAAGGTGTTTCATTTTCACTTTCAACATGAAGGGAATTCAATCATCATGTTAAAAAAAAAAAAGTGAGTTTGAACGAGAATGCTCTAGATCTGTGTTTTCCAATACAGTGTTTTCCACTAGCCACATACAGCCAATTCGGTTAAAATTAAGTAAATTTAAAATCCAGTTCATGAAGTCTCACCAGCCACATGTCAAGTGCTCAGGAGCTAAGTGTGGCTGGTGGGTACCATGTGAGACAACAAAGAATATCAACACTTCCGTCATTTCAGAAAGTTCTACTGGACAGTGCTGCTCGACATCAAGAATAAGCAAACAGATCTGAACAGCATGCAAAGCATGTTATAAAACATACATTTGAGGGCTTCTCTGGTGGTGCAGTGGTTGAGAATCTGCCTGCCAATGCAGGGGACACGGGTTCGAGCCCTGGTCCGGGAAGATCCCACATGCCGCGGAGCAACTGGGCCCGTGAGCCAGGACTACTGAGCCTGTGCGTCTGGAGCCTGTGCTCCGCAACAAGAGAGGCCGCGACAGTGAGAGGCCCGTGCACCGCAATGAACAGTGGCCCCCGTTTGCCGCAACTAGAGAAAGCCCTCGCACAGAAACGAAGACCCAACACAGCCAAAAATAAATAATAAATAAATAATTTAAAACATACATTTGATGGAGAAAGAGTGCACTGTTTTACTTTGAGATGGTGTTGATAAAAATGGGAAGTTCTCCACCAGCAGTGAAAGCAAACTGGAAGGAGGGGCAAATTCCTAACAATTAAAAGGCTGAAGAAAGACGCAAAAAGTCGATTTGCCTATAGTTAAATTCTTCCAAACATTACAAGAAAACTCAGTGCAATGAAGAATTATTTTAATCTATGGTATGATCCATTTTTGTAAACAAAACAAATCATATATGTAAATCCAGTAATCTTCTGAGATCATGTTTTTTTCTCCCCCCCTCTTTTTCATTAACTCCATTTTCTAAATATTTTCTAAAAAAAGATCATATGTTACTCGGGCAGGACAAAATTTAAAAATCGACACTTAGCCTGGGAGAACAGGCTGAGTAGAGCCCCTCTCAGATGGTTATTTTAGGGCCAACGTCTAGCGTTGCGTGGGAAGCATGAGCGGGGCTGGGGGATTGCAGGGCAACAACACACCTGCCAGTCCTTAGCGATGCCACAAAGGCCAACAGGCTGCCAACCGCACACCGTCCCTCTGGGGGGCCCCTGGCCCCCACCCATGCTTGATTCTCCCACCTACTGGCCAGCCGGGACTCAAAGCCACAACCTCCCACTGGGGGCACCCGCTTCTCTGTTCCCTTCCTCCCTCTCTTTGAGCTGGTTCTGGTTCAGTGGAAGTGCGTGGGCTTAGGAGTCATAAAGCATACCGTATTTTGGCTCTAAACCCGACCGTATGTATAACCTCAGGCAGGTCATTGACCTTGTCTGACTACGGGCATGCTTATCTCCAAATGTGGACATTTTCTAGCTTCCAGGGGCATCAGATGAGCTATTACAGATAAAGTGTTCTGTTCACTGAAAAGGGAAGCACAGGTGTCAGTTCTGATGACATATGACTCAACCTGAACGTGGACGCTTTGCCGACGAAAGGGGAAATTACCTCATGACATCCCACTTGTCCCTTAGCCAATTTCTCCGTAAATTACTGAAATAATTTGGAAAACAGGCGATGATGCAGTAATAATAATGGCAGCTGGGAGGTATTTACTGAGTATTTACTCTGTGCCGGTCACTCACCATGATGCCTACATAATTCACGGAATACCCCTTTTTAAAGGTGTCATTACAGTCTAACAAAAGAAGGTAATTATTATTATTAACCTGTAAGACAGATAAGGAAAACAGGCCCAGAGAGGTCAAGTGGGTTGTCTAGGGTCATCTAGTCACTGAGTGCAGAGCTGGGATTTGAGTATAAGTCTTCTGATCTCTAGAGCAAAGGTAATTAAAAAACAAGACTGATCTGGGTCCAAATCCTGGCTCTCCCACTGAATAACTGCATAATCTCTGGAGCCCTGTGCCACAGTGTCCTTATACAGGAAATGGAGAGAATCACATGGACCTTGGAGAGTTCTTGTGAGCACTGGAAAATGTTTTTAAAATGCCAGGCACAGAGAAGCAGCTCAATACATGCTGGCCACTGGCCAGCGAAATGGGCTTCATCGTTTCTCTCACCTTAGGGACACAGCAGGACTGGTTCACTTTTTAAAGAAGCAGCTTGAAAGAAATATGACCATATTTTAATGACATTCGGCGCCAGAAAAAGATAAGCTGCCAATGGATGGGAGGAGTGACCCTCACATTTACACTGACGAGCTGGAACACACCTCCCAGCTGCAGAAAGCAAGCTCAGGAGTGTCTGACACTGTCACCCACCATCAGGCAGGACACATCCTCCTTAGAACAAACAAGAACCTTCTCCATCCTGAGAGAGTTGCTACGTACTTCATTTCCTTCTTAAGTCACTCTAAGCAATGACGGGGAAGGAAAACACTATATTCGTCCTGCTTTTAATTTAAAAGAAAGAGAGACCAGAAAGTCTCCCTGATACCCCTTTATCACATGTTCTGCTTGGCTCAGGAAGAGGTATTACTTGGCCAAAAGCTGAAAGATTCAGAGAGCATTATATTATTTTCAAAAGAAGTTAGGGGGCTTCCTTGGTGGCGCAGTGGTTAAGAATCCACCTGCCGATGCAGGGGACACGAGTTCGAGCCCAGGTCCGGGAAGATCCCACATGCCGCAGAGCAACTAAGCCCGCATGGGCCCCAACTACTGAGCCTGCACTCTAGAGCCCGTGAGCCACAACTACTGAGCCCATGAGCCGCAACTACTGAAGCCCACGCGCCTAGAGCCAGTGCTCTGCAACAAGAGAAGCCACCGCAATGAGAAGCCCGCGCACCGCAA